CAGATCTTGGAGCTGCCTCCGTGTAGGAGCCCAGGTCTCACTTCTAGTAGGTGTGACTGTACCTGGTCACTTCCTCTCCTTGGGCCTCCATTTCCTTATCTGTAACGTAAGGCTTTACAAAATGAGTGCCAAGCTGCCTCAGAAAGCCTACTTTAGTTCTAGAGGGAGAGATTCCCAGACTGGAGGGGAAGGGAAAGGAGGGCAGCAAACTGAACCCCCAGACCAGGCAAGTGAACCCCTAGACCAGCCAACTGAACCCCCAGACCAGCCTCTGAACCCCCAGACCAGCCACTGAACCCCCACATCAGCCAGTGGAACCCCCAGATCACACAACTAAACCCCCAGACCAACCAAGTCACCCCAGTCCAGCCAACTGAACCCTCAGACCAGCCAATTAAACCCCTAGAACATCCAACTAAACCCCCAGTCCAGCCAAGTAATCCCAGCCCAGCCAACTGAACCCCTAGATTAGCCAATTAACCCCCACATGAAATAGGTAAACCCTCCTAGACCGGCCAACCAACCCTCCAAGACCAGCCAGGTAAAGCCCCCAGCCCAGCCATGTAACTTCCAGACCAGACAACTAAACCCCATATATCAGCCAAAACTCCAGACCAGACAACCACCAGACCAGACAACGAAACCCCACAAACCGTAAAACTAAATCCCTAGACAACTGAACCTCCCCAGATCAGCTAACTGAATCTTCCAGACCAGTGAACTGGACCCCACACGTTAAAACGATGTTTGGAATATACTGAATTAAATAAAACAGTAAAATTAATTGTACCTGTTTCTTTTTACCTTATTCATGGGACTGCTAGAAATGTTAAAACCCACTTCTACTGGGTGGTGTGGCTCTGGGTAGGAAGTCCCTGGGCAGAGTCCTGTCTTTACGATCCCTTAAGTCCTCTCCAAAACCCAGCACTCAATAAAACCTGTGGGCTGGATGCAGGATGCCTCAGTTTACCCCAGAGGAAACGGGGGCCTCGAGAGACAAGGTCACTCACCCTAAGGCAGCAACAACTATGTCATTTGTGGGGCTCAGTGGAAAATGAACATGTGAGCCCACTGTTCAATATGTATTTAGAGCATTAAACTGAGCACAGGGCCCTGCACAGCTGCAGAGGTCACATGCCGGTGAAGCTGGCCCCGCTCCAAGGCCAAATCGTTGTCAATGGGCAGAGCTGGGATTTGAACATAGGAAGGCCTGGAGCTAGGGCATAGTACAGGGAGGGTCACCTGGAAACAGCTGGGCAGGTCTGAGTCCCTGGGCTAGGCTGTGAGGCTAGAGCAGAGGAACAGAGGGCCTGGGTCCTGGCGGGTCCCTCCTCCTGGTGCCTGGGGCAGCATGCAGTGTTGAGGCCCCAGGAGTGAGAGAAATTGTACCCAGGGTTGAATGGTGCCGGCTCCAAAAGATGCATCTAACCAGAACCTGTGAGTGGGAATCTGACAGTAGGATCTTTGTGATGGAATTTTTTTTTTTTTTTTTTTTGAGACAAGGTCTGGCTCTGTCACCCAGGCTGGAGTACAGTGGTGTGATCACAGCTCACTGCAGCCTTGACTTCCTGGGCTCAAGGGATCCTCCCACCTCAGCCTCCCAAGTGGCTGGGACTACAGGCGTGCACACCACTATTCCCAGATAATTTCTGTATTCTTTCGCAGGGATGAGGTTTTGCCATGTTGCTCAGGCTTGTCTCAAAACCCTGGGCTCAAGAGCTCCTCCTGCCTCGGCTTCCCAAAGTGTTGGGATGCCAGGCAGGAGCCACCGGGCAGCCCTGCCGATGTAACTGAATTAAGGATCTTGAGATGAGATGATCCCTGAAGAGGGTGGGCCCTAAAGCAAATGACGGTTGTCCTTAAAAGAGAAGGGAAGACAGAAGAGGAAGGCCACGTGCCACGAGGCAGAGGCTGGAGCTAAGCGGCCACAAGCCAAAGGATGGGTGGTGCCACTAGAGGCTCTGGAGCCCCTGACGGCTTCCAGAAGAAACAAGGCCTGCTCACACCTGGATGGCACACCCCTGGCCTCCAGAACTGTTTTAAACCACCTAGTTTGGGGGTAATCTCTTACTTACGGCAGCCCATGTTATAGAGTTCCTGGCTACTTCAAATGTCAAGTTGAAATGTTTCTCTCTGGGCCAGCATTCTGGGAGGCCGAGATGGGCAGATCACTTGAGGTCAGGAGTTCAAGAACAGCCTGGCCAACATGGTGAAACCCTATCTCTACTAAAAATATAAAAATTAGCTGAGCGTGGTGGCACGTACCTGTAATCCCGGCTACCCGGGAGGCTGAGGCTGGAGAATTGTTTGAACCTGGGAGGCAGGGGTTGCAGTGAGTAGAGATTGTACCACTGCACTCCAGCCTGGGCGACAGAGCAAGACTCTGTTCCCCTCTCCAAAAAAAGAGTCCTAGCCCCATGCTCCCCTTTGCCTGAGTCACCCCCATGCTTGTGTGGGCCTCATCACCTTCAGAGACCCAGGCTGGGCGGGTGGCAGTGGGCAGGGACCAACAGCAGCAGAGCCAGCCATGAAAAATGGATGAACAAGTGGCACTCGGGGCAGGAGCCGTTCCAGCACTTAGCAGCTCTAGGGCCGTCAGGAAGGCGGTCCTTTTAAAACCTCCCAGCCCCAGGGACCCTGAGCTGGCTGCCTGGCATTGATTCATGAGGGGCGGGGGCAGGGGGTGAAGGTGGGAGTGCATTTCCCAGGTACTGTCAGGATCTGCAGTGTCTTGGTCTACCTTCCTGGTAAAGCCCCAGCCTTGGGCTGGAAGGAAAGTGGTCCAGAGACACCTCCAGGGCCTGGTTTCTTCATCAAAGATGTCTTGACACAATTGCCAAAAGGTGGAAACACCCCAGTGTCCGGCGTAGGATATGCGGATAAAGAAAATGTGGTCCATATACAGGATGGAATATTATTCAGCCGTGAAAAGGAACAAATCAGTGACGAATGCTACAATGTGGATGAGCCTAGAAAACGTCACGCTGAGTGACAGAGGCCTGACACGAAAGGACAAATGCTGTGTGATTCCACATAAAGGACATCTCAAGAGCAGATACCTAGAGACGGGAAGTAGAATGGAGGTTGGCAAGGGCGGGGGGAGGGAACGGGGAGTTCGTGCTTAGTGGGGACAGAATTTCAGTGGGAGATGATGAAACCTTCATTCTGAAGATAGCGGTGCTTAATGCTACTAGTACGCTTCACAGTTAAAACGCCAAGTTTTATGTTACAGATACAATTATTTAAAGAAGAAAAATGGCCTTCATGGCGTCTGTCAGGCACTGGGAAACTCATGTCTAAGAGAAGAAAGTCCTCCAGTTTCAAGGCCTCAGGCTAGGTCCTCTCAACTACCGTCTGCTGCTGGATCAACCTCAGCCACTCACACATACTCATTCAACAAACATCTCCTCACTCCTGTGGGCTCAGCCTGGAGTCTCAGAGGAAGCCAGGCCCTGGAGGGGACACAGGCTATTGGTGCCTGTCCAGCATCCCATCCCACTTAGCAAATGACACCTGGGTATTCACCAGGGGAACCAATCTCTTTGCAAGCAGTCTTGGAGGAGCTGTCAATCAAGATGCGCCGCCCTCCAGGTCAAGGGGGCGGGCCTAAGACCTAAGCTGGGCCAATCAGATGCTCTCCTGGAGAGGATTCCTCCCAGCCTGGGAAGCTGAAGGGTGGTCCATTCATCCTGGCTCCCAATAGGGACCTTTTCCCACCTCCTTACTTTACTGTTCCTGTCGGCTCCCCTCGACTTTCCGGTAAATTCCTTGTTTCTGCTTCTGTAGCTTGCATCCAATAACCCTAAGCCTGCCTAAACCCAAAAGACGGGCTACAGAGCCTGATGAATTTGATGAAGGAAATAATGCAGTTAAGAGCAGCCACTGCCCAGGTGTGCCAGGCCCTGCTCTCGCGCTCCTGGTGACCTGAGACGCGTCCACCATGATCCCCATTTTACTGATAAGGAAACCAAGGCCCTTGCTCCAGGTCTCACAGAGGCAATGGGTAGGCCAGAACTCACACTATGCAGGTGAATCCCAGGCAAGCTCAGCTTCCGGCCACCTCTCCAGGTGGGCCGGTGGCCTCCACCTGGAAGGGGCTGCTGAGGTCAGGCAGGTTGCCCCGGGGCAGGCTAGGAGCCTGGCCCTCACATCACTGGCCACAGGACGCTTGGAGCCAGAGTTGGTCTCAGGCAGTGGGGCCCCAAGTCAGAGCCTGCAGTCTCAGAGGAAACCAGGCCCTGGAAGGGATGCAGACTGTACCTGTCTGGTATCCCATCCCACTTAGCAAACGACACCCCACTTTTCACCAGGGAACCAATGTCTCTGCAAGCAGTCTTGGAGGAGCTGTCAATCAAGATGCACCGCCCAGCTGGACCAGGTGCCGCCCACGTGACTCCCAGATTTTTGGCTGAGGAGACCAGAGCAACTGTCATTGAGGTAAAGAAGAGGGGCAGCAATGGACTTGGGGTGGAGGCCTCCCGCCACATTGGTCTGAGGTCCCCCAAGGCCATCCACATACAGGACAGAGGTCTGGACTGCCTTCACCAACACCCACAACACCCTTCAGTGGTTTTGTGTCTTTCTAGAACTTTCTCCCGCAGATCTGCTCTCCCAGCACCAGGACGCTGGACCTCCTATCTGGGTGTTTACAGGCCCGGGTGTGCCTGTGAAAGCAAACAGCCCCATGTGTGCCTGGCTCCTTCGCAAAGGCCACCCCTCCCTCACTCTCCACAGCCTGAAATTAGTCCCCCTGAGGGGGAAGCTGAGGCACCAGGGCACTGCCACCTTCCCAGTCACTCACTCATAGTGAAATGGAAGGCCTGGAGGGATGCTCAGAGTCAGGACAAGCATTTATAGAGCACCTGCTGTGTACAGCACTGCTTAAGGGATGGTGCCCCTTTCCCTCTGCAGGGCAGATGGCCTCATCCCCCTCCCTCCTGCCCCCTAGCCCAGCCCACCCCCTGCCACGAGAGCTGGTGGGGGCAGACGCCCAGCCTTACCTTTCAGGCAGGACATCTTGAGCCCCATGTCGGCACCTCCACAGGCCTGTGGAGAGAGGACAGCGTTCAGAGAGGGGTGGCCACCACTTGTTTGTATTGGCCATGTGTGGCCAGGCCCCCACCCCAGCCCTGGTGAGTACAAAACAGAAGGTTGTGGTGGAGAGAAACCACCAGCCTCTAGGCCATGCCACCTGTCAACATCTGGGCTGGAGTCTGTGCTGGCGGAAAAAACTCGAGGGGGCCTCAAAGTTAAATATACAGGAGGCCAAGGTGGTGACGGCAGCCCTGGCTCTGAAAGTCGCTTGAACCCAGGAGGTGGAGGCTGCGATGAACTGACGGGGGGAACCGACACCGCTGAGCTTTCATTTCAAGAGCCACAGGAGGGCTGCTGCCGCAAGCTGTGAAGACCTGCCAGCCGGGGTGGGGGTGGCCCAGAGGCCCCCAAGGTGGGTGCACCTCCCCTTCTAATGCTGCCCCGTTTTTTTTTGTTTTTTTTTCTAATGCAGGTTCTCTGGAGATCTAACAGCCTGAGCTCTAGAGGACACGTGGCCTCCAGCCCACAGGATATTAGAATTGTCCCAACCAGTGTTCTCATGATGTTCCTTCCACATGAGGCATCCTTAGAGTTCTGAGCAATTGAAAAATAAAATAAAAGCAGCAGCCGGCGGTGCGGGGCCCCCGCGTGCCCTTGACACTCACTCCTCAGTAACAGCCCTGCAAGGTACTACTACCGTCTCCACTTCCAAGACACAAAAATCAGGGCTCATGGAGGTGGCGGCATCTGCCCGAGGCTATCGGCTTACTAGGGATTGTGGGGCTGAGACTCGAACCCAGGACTGTCCTGATCCCCAGGCTGGAGCCCCACCCCACAGAGACCTGTAGTGTCCGGACGTCCAGAGGAAGATAGAGGCGCAGGGGGTGGAAGGAAGCAGGGGGTGGGAGGTCAGGCAGGAACAGGTGGGGAGAAGACAAAGATGGATTGGACCTGGGGTCTCTGGGGCTGGCTTGGAGTTAAGAGCTTATTCTGAGGACGCCAAGGAGCAAGTCTGCTTTCTAGAGGGCTGTATGGCTGGGGCCAGTGAGGAGACCCTGGGCCTGGCCCTTGCCTGCAGGCTGTTGGTGGACTGGCAGCATCAGCACCCTGGGGACTGGGGAAAAAGGCAGCAGCTCAGGCCCACCCAGGCGCACAAGGCCCCAGGGACTCCTGTGCCTGCTGACGTTACAGATGCTTGCTCTGGGCCAGAAAACAGGAAGGTGATTGTGAAGACAGCAGGTCAGGAAGGGTTCAGAGAGAGAAGGAGCTGGAAGTCCAGGTGGAGCTAGCAGGACATGGATGGGAGATACCACCAGGACAGAGACTGGGGGCCTGGGGAAGGGAGGGAGGGCCATGACACTGTTGGGAACAGGCTTGGCCGGCTGCATAAGGCAGCTATTCCAACTTAGCAGCGGTCTCTGGAGCTTCCCCACTGCACCAGCTGGGCCAGGTTCCAGCTTGGCAGCTCCCAGGCATGTGACGGCGGATAGTTTATCTCAAGACTTCATTTTCCTCAGCTTTAAAATGGGATCAGGTAACCAGGCGTGGTGGCTCACACCTGTAATCCCAGCACTTTAGGAGACCAAGATGGTTGGATCACCTGAGGTCAGGAGTTCGAGGTCAACTTGGCCAACATGGTGAAACCCCATCTCTACAAAAATACAAAAATGAGTCAGGCATGGTGGCGGGCACCTGTAATCCCAGATGCTCGGGAGGCTGAGGCAGGAGAATCGCTTGAACCCGGGAGTGGAGGATGCAGTGAACCAAGATCTCAGCACTGCGCTCCAGCCAGGTGACAGAATGAGACTCCATCTCAAGAAAAAAAAAAAAAAATGGAATGAGGCACATAACGGTCATTGAGTAGCAGCGAGGGCTGGGTGTCAGGAGGTGACCTGCACTGGGGAAAGAAGAAAGGTCCAAGCAACATCAGCTGCTGCTGTCCTTTATGACAGCGAGGGAGGGAAGGGAGGTAGAGGTTTCCATCTAGGCCTTTTCTCCAGGGCCTTGCTGTTCCCAGAGTGGCCCACGGAACCACAGCACAGGCTTCCCGAGAGCTGTGCATACAGGGCCTCAGGCCTGAGCTGGCCCTGCCCACTCAGAGCCTGCATCCATGTTACAGCCGAGGAGAGCTGGGCACTGCGCACATCACCCAGGAGCTTTACAAAATACGGCTTCATCTGGATTCGGTAACTCGCCCCTGTCATCCCAGCACTTTGGGAGGCTGAGGGGTGAGGACTGCTTGGGGCCAAGAGTTCAAGACCAACCTGGGCAACATAAGAAGACCCTGTCTCTACAAAACACGCTTGTACAACCCCTAGCCCTGCCGCCTGCAGCTCAGGACAGCTTTGAACACAGCCTAACACAAATTCATAAACTGTCTTAAAACATTGTAGATTTTTTTGAGAACTGTTTTTCAGCTCATCAGCTATCATTAATGTATTTTATGTGTGGCCCAAGACAATTTTTCTTCTTCCAGTATGGCCCAGGGAAGCCAAAACATTGGACACTCTGGCTATAAAACATTTTTTTTTTTTTTTTTATTGTTGGGGCGGAGGTTTACCCATGTTACCCAGGCTGGAGTGCAATGGCGCGATCTCGGCTCACCGCAACCTCCGCCTCCTGGGTTCAGGCAATTCTCCTGCCTCAGCCTCCTGAGTAGTTGGGATTACAGGCACGCACCACCATGCCCAGCTAATTTTTTGTATTTTTAGTAGAGACGGGGTTTCACCATGTTGACCAGGATGGTCTCGATCTTTTGACCTCGTGATCCACCCGCCTCTGCCTCCCAAAGTGCTGGGATTACAGGCTTGAGCCACCGCGCCCGGCCATAAAACATTTTTAAAAAATTAGTTGGGTGTGGTGCCCTGTGCCTGTAGCCCCAGCTACTCAGGAGGCTGGGGCAGGAAGATCACTTGAGCCCAGGAGACTGAGGCAGCAGTGAGCCTTGACTGTGCCACTTCATGCCAGCCTGGGTGACAGAGCAAGAGCCTCTTTAAAAAGAAAAAAAGGGCCGGGCGTGGTGGCTGAAGCCTGTAATCCCAGCACTTTGGGAGGCCGAGGCGGGTGGATCACGAGGTCAAGAGATCGAGACCATCCTGGTCAACATGGTGAAACCCCATCTCTACTAAAAATACAAAAAATTAGCTGGGCATAGTGGTGCGTGCCTGTAATCCCAGCTACTCAGGAGGCTAAGGCAGGAGAATTGCCTGAACGCAGGAGGCGGAGGTTGCGGTGAGCCGAGATCGCGCCATTGCACTCCAGCCTGGGTAACATGAGTGAAACTCCGTCTCAAAAAAAAAAGAAAAAAAAACCTGCTTTCTGAGTCCCACCCCAAGAGATTCTGGGGCCACTGGTCTGGTGTGTGGCTGGCACTGGGATTTTTTTTTTTTTTTTTGAGATGGAGTCTCACTCTGTCACCCAGGCTGGAGTGCAGTGGTGCGATCTTTGCTCACTGCAACCTCCACTTCCCAGGTTCGAGTGATTCTCCTGCCTTAACCTCCTTAGTAGCTGAGACTATAGGCATGTACCACCACGCCCAGCTAATTTTTGTATTTTTAGTAAAGGTGGGGTTTCACTATCTTGGCCAGGCTGGTCTCGAACTCCTGACCTCAAGTTATCCATCCACCTCAGCTTCCCAAATGGCTGGGATTCAGGCGTGAGCCAGCGTGCCCGGACTGGCACTGGGATTTTTAAAAGCCCCCTGCAGGACTCTAACATGTAGGAGAGAGAATCCTTCCTTAGGGGAGAACTGAGGGGTAGCAGAGGAGCTGGGGCTGGGGTGGAGGGGAAGAGAGCCCGGGCCAGTGGGAGCGACAGGCACATTTCCTGGCATTCACCATGTGCCCGGCACTGTCCAGAGCCCTTATGTATGTTCATGGTTAGTGAATCCTCACGACAGCCCCAGGAAGCTGGGATCATTCCTGTCCCCATCTCACCGGAAACAGGGGCACAGAGAAATTAGTTAACTTGCCCAAGCTCACATGGCTAGCAAGTGGCAGAGCAGGGATTTGAAGGCAGAACTCTGGACTCTGGAGCCCATGCTTTCAGTGACCAGGCAGACCTGGAATGTCTTGAAGTCCCCGGAGGACAGAGCTTCCAGGAACAGGGGAGGGCGGAGCAGACCTCCTCTCCACCCCTCATCAACTGTGCCCATGCTGGCTCTCCTGCCGCCAGCCTTGCCGAGGGGTCCTGCAGCCCTGACGTCAGGATCAACCACAAATAAGCCGCAGAGAAAGCTGCACAGAGCCCCAGGGCCTCTGCTGGCCAAGCTTCCCAAACCTTCCTGGACTGCGGCCTCCTCCTGTAAGACACAAACTCAACATCCCAACCAAGCGAAGGCAGGCTCTGCACAGCGCGCTCAGGCTTTACCGTCTGGCGCCTTCCAGCCTGTCTTTGTTCAGCACTGATCACAGCCCACCTGGCGGATTTTATGACACAGCCCAGCCCAGGGGTGGAAAACCAGTGATCTGTATGAAAGTTCCCACACGTGGAATGATGTCTGGAATTTGCTGTAAAATACTCCAGTAAAACATCCACAACAACAGCAAGAAGAAGGACAAAACAACAACAAAACGGCGCGGGCGCAGGGAGGCGCGGCCATGACAGCAGCGGATGCTGTTCACTGCTGGGACTGGGACATGGGAGAGCATGACATACTGGTGTGCCTGTCTGAAAAGTAACGACCAGCCTGGGCAACACGGCGAAACCCCATCTCTACAAAAAATACAAAACTTAACTGGCTGTGGTGGCGCATGCCTGTAATCCCAGCTACTCAGGAGGCTGAGGTGGGAGGATCTCTTGAGGCCAGGAAGTGGAGGCTGCAGTGAGCCATGATTGTGCCACTGCACTACCTGGGAGACACAGCAAGATCCTGTCTCAAAAAAGAAAAGAAAAGAAGTAATAAAATAGTCAGAAGGGAAACAACTGTATTCTAGGTGACCGTTTGGGGTCAGTATTAAATTTTCTGATTCTGACTATTGTACTGTGTTCTGTAAGAAATAATCCTTG